CAGCTGTCTGAGGGGAGGCGATGCCCCGGTATGGTGTCAGCCTGTCCCGGTGTAACGCCACCCGGCGCCCCCTGTCAGGCATCTGCACCCGGTAGACGACCTCTCCCAGCCGCTCCAGGACCAGACACGGTCCCCCCCAGTGGCTATCCAGCTTAGGGCACCTGCCTTTCTTCCGTTTAGGAGTGTAGGTCCACACCAGCTCCCCAGCCGCAAAGTGTCGGCCTTTCGCCCGGACGTCATAATTCCTCTTTTGTCGCACGCCCGCACTACGCATTTGCCTGCGGGCATACGCATGTGCAGAGTCCAAGCGGTCCTGCAGCCGCCTGGCGTAGTCCGGGACAGCAGGGACTCGCGGCGCATCCGGGGGTCGTCCAAAGGTCAGTTCCGCTGGTGTTCTCAACTCTCTGCCCAACATGAGGAGGGACGGTGTACATGAAGTGGAGTCATGGACCGCAGTGCGACACGCCATCAGAACCAGGGGCAAATGCATATCCCAATCGCGCTGATGGTCGGCAGTCAGGATAGATAGCTGTTCGCCCAGAGTCCGGTTGAATCTTTCCACTAACCCATCACTCTGGGGGTGGAGCGGTGTTGTACGGGTCTTTGTGATGCCCAGACGTGTACACATCGTGGCAAAAACTTTAGATTCGAAATTTTTCCCCTGATCACTATGGATTGACTCTGGCACCCCCAGCCGACTGATTATCCCCTCCACTAGGGCCTCAACAATGGTCTCGGCCTCCTGGTCCCTAATGGCATAGGCCTCAGGCCATTTAGTGAAATAATCCACAGTAGCGAGTATGTAGCGATTACCTCTGTCTGTGAGTGGGAGAGGGCCCAGAACGTCTACACCCAGCCGCTGGATGGGCTCCCCCACCGGAAACTGCTGTAGCTGAGCCCTGGACTGGCCCGGTGGACCTTTGCGGGCAGTGCAGAGATCACAGCACCGACAAAAGTCTTCAACGTCTCTCCTCAGCCGCCCCCAATAGAAGGCCTGACGGACCCGCCGGAGTGTTTTGGTCACCCCAAAGTGACCGGAGCCTGCAGAGCCATGCATGGCTTCGAGAACAGCCCCCTGCATCCCTCTGGGTACCATTGTCTGCCACTTTTTTTCTCCCGACGCTGGTTCTACCCATGCCCGCTGAAGGACCCCATCAGCCAGCTGCAAAGAATTAAATTTAGCCCACAGCCCTTTTGTCCATGGGGAGAGAGCGGCCACCTCCTCCCAGGGCGGCCGCTGCCGCGCCTCCACCCACAGCATCACTGGCTGCACGTCCGGGTCTCGTTGCTGTTCCGCGGCCCAGATAGCATTGTCCACCACCAGCAGCTCTCTACAAGCCCTGACAGTCTCTTCACACTCCTCTCTGTCCCGCTTGTTTGGCCCCAGAACCAGCTGCTGTTCTCTGACCTCTCTGCGGTCACAATACCGGCAGTCGTCTTCACTGCAGGGTCGACGGGACAGTGCGTCAGCGTTGCCATGCCGTTCTCCAGCACGGTGAACCACGCTGAACTCGTAGCCTTGCAGCTCCTCCAGCCAACGAGCCAGCTGTCCCTCAGGCTCTCGGAATGTCATCAGCCACTGCAGTGAGGCATGATCAGTGCGTACAGTGAAGGGGCGGCCACACAAGTAGTACTTAAAATGCCGTGCGGCAAAGACGACAGCAAGCAGCTCCCTACGTGTGACGCAATACCGCCGCTCAGCTTTATTCAGGGCTTTGCTGTAGTAGGCCACAACCCTCTCTCCTTCCGGCCCTGCCTGTGATAAGACTGCCCCCACTCCATCGCCGCTAGCGTCTGTGTCCAGAACAAAAGGCACTTCGGGGTCAGGGGCTGCCAGGATGGGTGCGCTTGCCAGAGCCTCCTGGAGGGTGTTGAATGCGCTTTCACAGTCCTCCGCCCACACAAAGGGCTGGTCCTTCTGCAGGAGCCTGTACAGGGGGGCCGCAATGCCTGAAAATCCCCGCACGAATTTCCTGTAATAGGAAGCTAAACCCAAAAAACTTTTTAGTCCCCTCTGGTCTGTCGGGCTGGGCCACTCGCGTATGACACGCACCTTCTCCTCCACTGTGCCGATACCCTCGCTGCCTATTCGGTGCCCCAGAAAGGTCAGCTCCCTGCACAGCAGCCTACATTTGTCCGGGTGTAGCTTCAGTCCAGCCCCTTTGATCCTCTCCATAACTCGGCGCAGTGCTGCCATAGCTGAATCAAATGAGCTGCCATGGGCCAGAATGTCATCTAAGTACACCAGGCACTCCGTGTGTGGAACTCCAGCTAACACCCTCTCCATCAAGCGTTCGAATGTGGCAGGCGCATTACACAGTCCAAAACAGAGCACCTTAAACTGCCACAGCCCCTTTCCTGTGCAGAATGCGGTCTTGGGCCGGGCCTCTTCGGCCAGGGGGACCTGCCAATAGCCGCTCCTCAAGTCCAAGGACGAGAACCAGGAAGAGCCAGCTACTAGGTCCAGACATTCATCCACGCGTGGGAGGGGGTAGGAGTCCTTCTTAGTGACGTCATTAAGCCTCCTATAATCCACACAGAAGCGCCACTCACCTCCTTTCTTCGGCACCATCACGACTGGTGATGCCCAGGGGCTCTCAGAGGGCTCTATTATGCCAGCTCGCTGCATTTTCTCCAAAGCCCGCTCCGCTGCGTCTTGTCGGCCCAGGGGGAGGCGACGTGGCCGCTGCCGTATAGGCGTCGCATCACCCGTGTCAATTGTGTGCTGTACGAGAGAGGTCTGTCCCAGCTCCTCCTCGTCGCATGAAAAGCAGTCACGGAACTCTATCAGCAGCTGCCATAGTCGCTCCTGCTGTTCAGAATCCAAGTCCCCGGCACTTCTCTGCCAGACCTCGCGCAGAGCTGTCATCCTTTTCGCTTCACTCTCCTGCAGACTCTCACAGCCCTCCACCGCAGACGGGATCAGCCTGACCGGCGAGTCCAGGCTACGGGTGGCTGGCTCAGGGCCTAGCCGAGGCTCCGACAGGTACGACATGGCAGCCTTTGTCTGTTTTCCTTCCCCCACACAGCACCTGTGAGGTCCGGCTGTGTGTGTAGTTGCGTGCTGGGAATCCAGCGGTCTCATATGCACCACCTGCCCATCAATAAAGCTCAGTGTGGCTTTCCCCAAGTCTATTTGACAGCCCTGCTCCCGCAAAAAGTCCAAGCCTAAAATACAGGCATCTTGTACTTCCGCTACCCACACAGTGTGTCTCATTTTCCGTCCCCCCACAGTCAATATCAGCTGCCCTCTCCCTTTCATTGGTGCTAGCTCACCAGTTACTGTGCGTAGCTGAACTGCTGTGTCCTCCAGCTGTGTACCCACTGGCACCACCTCCGGCCGGACCACTGTGACCGTTGACCCGGTGTCCACTAGGGCGGTGCAGGAAACCCCCTCGATGCAAATGGGAATATGGCAGAAGTCCGATATGGAAGTCCTTCCCACCACAGCCACATTCTGCCCCTGGCCCATGCTGTACTGAGAGGCGCTGCTGGCCACAACCAGTGACGAACGGGACTTAAGGGTGGGGGCACGCAGCGTCCCGTCTACTGCGTCCCCTTGCCGTTTCCCAGAGCTTTAGTCGAGGCTGGGCAATCCCTCACCATGTGTCCAGCTTGGCCACACCCCCAGCAGAGGCGCGGCTGTTGTTGTGGCCGCACCGGGGCCTGTGTTTGTTGACGCCTGGCAGGGGGCATAGCCAACCCCCTGATCATCTCGGTCACCTCGTCCACCCACAGCGGCCGCTGCGACATTGTCTCTCCTACCGCCCTGACCATTGGGGAAGCATCGTGCTGTGCAGCGCTCATGACCATCTCCCTCTCCAGCGCGTACTCCAGTGCGTCAGTCAGGGTTTGGGGGCGAGCCAACTGAGTGTGAGCCCGCAGATCAGATGGAGAGAGAGCCCTGACGAACTGATCACGTGCAAGCTCCGTTTGCACTGGCGTAGGCATATGCGCGTATGCACGTCGTGTCAGTCCTTCGATGTCGTTTGCCAACGTGCGCAGGGATTCCCCAGTTCGCCTCTGACGTCCATGCAGCTCTGAGCGCAGCAGCTCCGAACGAAAACATTGTCCAAACCGGCGCCCTAGAGCAACAGCCAGGGCTCCATAATTACCCCTCTCACTCGGGTCCAAAAGCAGCAGACAAGACAGTGCATCATCCGTCAAACAAAGGGCGAGCTGGAGGGCTTTCTGTTCATCTGACCAGCTGTTTGCACGAGCTAAAAGCTCGAACTGAGCATGAAAAGCCTCCCAGTCAGACTTCCCCGCGTATTTCGGCGTTTTTATGCTCACCGGCACTCGCTGTCCCTGGGCGGCCGCAATCTTTTGTTTACGTTTTGTCCATGAATTTCCCGGGCGGCAATTCCCCGCGCGCCGTGTAGCTAGCTTCAGCGCTAGCCGTCGCTACGCCAGGACCCCCAGCGGATGTTGGTGGCTGTAACTCACGTATCATCCCCCTTCCTAGCCCGTCCACGGAAAAACGCTGTCCTTCCAGCACTTGAACAGGACGAGGATATCCGTACTCATTGTCCTCCTCCTCCTTCTTGACACAAAAACCTCTGCCAAAAGAACGCTCCATCTCCACCAGAAAAAGCGCCCACCAAACAGTAGTCCGCCCACGCGTGAGCGGTCGACTACGTTAACAAAATCAGACTTAAGTTTACTTCTGACACCAGTTGTAACGTTTCGTGAAAATAAAGAGCCAGGTTCTTATCGCTCGGGTTTATTGTTGTCTGTTGTCGGCCACAGCCACGCCATTTCACACACCTGGTCATCAACTTAGTCCGAACAGAACTTCCCCTTCCTGTGCTCCCCGAAAACTACCCACATTCCCCGGAAGGGGCGGTACCCCAACAATGGCCTATGTAACAGTAACATTAATCAGAGCCATCTACATTCATGAACTTAAGGCACGCTACATTATGTTTGATTCATAAACAACACATTAATAATAATAATGATCACAGATCTCAGAGTGCAACAGAGATGGAAAAACGCCCATGGTGTGGAGCTTGTTGGTGTTGGGGACCCGGAGGAGTGAGCTGCTGAGGGTGCGGGTGAAGGTTTGGGGAGTAGTTCTTGCAGATAGGGAGGTGCATGTCCATTTATGCATTTGTGAGTAAGTAGTAGAACTTTGTAGTCAATCCGGAATGAGACAGGGAGCCAGTGTGATGAGTGTAGGACGGATGTTATGTGCTCATATTTCCGAACTCTCATCAGGATCCTGGCAGCGCTGTTTTGGATGTATTGTAGTTTCAGGATATTCTTGCCAGCGATTCCAGTTAAAAGTAAATTACAGTAGTCCAGTCTTGAGGAGATAAACGCATGGGCAAGCTTCTCTGCATCTGACACCTCCAAGGTGGGGCGTGTTTTGGAGATGTTTTTGAGATGATAGAAGGAGGTTTTGCACAGGTATTTGATATGGTCATTAAAGGTCGGGTGAGGGTCAAACCTAACTCCCAGATTGGTAACTGTACATTGAACATTGACTGAACACCTATGATGTGGTAGGTTTGTGTTAATGCAACGACTTTGTTAATTGCATTTGTTGATTAATTTAATAATAATTAAGTTGAAATTATCTTTAACCCGTTATGTACTCAGGTCTAGAAGCATTAGTGTGACTATTTTAAAGTCAGATGTGTATAATTGTGTATAATATGTATGTGGATACACTCACAAACAGAAAATCTACCAAAAATATCTATGAATATCGATACATAAGATGTATAATACTACTGTTTTAACCCCCCACCTCAATCAAGCAACATTTAAAAAGTAAAATAGTGAAATGTTAGCTCTATTTGCTGAAGTTTAGGCATGTTGAGATAACTTCAACATTAACACAAGCAAATATTTGGTTAATTATGAACTGCTCAACCTGGAGCATGTCTGCAAACTCATAATAAAGGGGGGGGACGCCTAATTTGCATAATCATATTGGACAGCTGCCTTGCGCATGTGCGATTCACTTTCAGTCTAGACCCGTTTCACTTCTCTGCTATGACTGCAGCTGGGTCACTGCGCGAGCCGCGAGGCTGAAGCCTAGTTTATGATTCTGCGTTTTCAGAGCGATGCAAGGAAACACAGACGCAAGAGCCCCTTGCGTGTCCCTTGCGTGCCTTTTCACACCTCCTTGTGTGCGTCGACCCATTTTTCTAGGCTTGCGTCAACGCAAGCCTCCTGCAGCGCACGAGGCTGCGATTGGTCTGCTAACTACATCCTTTACGGAGTCTCACATTTCCGCTTTCATAGCACAATACCGCCATTATTAAAACGAGGAATGTTTATGAGAGAACGGATCAGATTGAAGAGCTTTTGTCGAAAGAAATGCGTAAATATGACAACTTATACAGCCCGTCATTGGCGGACTTTAGGGACGCGCGGATGGCCTCCCGATTCCCGACACGTTTGTCCCATATCTTCCTCAACAACTTTGTGCACCCCTCTACCAGCAAACCGACGTTTGCAGAGATCTCCCTCCATGAATCGGAGGCCATCCGCGCGTCCTTATAGTCCGCCAATAATGGGTTGTAGAAGTGGTCATATTTACGGACAAAAGCTCTTCAATCTGCTTCATTCTCTAGTAAACATTCTTTGTTTTAATAATGGTGGTATTGTGCTATGAAAACGGAAATGTGAGACTCCGTAAAGGATGTAGTTAGCAGACCAATCGCAGCCTTGCGGGCTGCAAGAGGCTTGCGTAGCTTTTGATGCAAGCCTAGAAAAAAGTTCGTCCGCTTAAGCAAACACCCTTGTTTTCTTCCCGCGGTTGGGAGCGTACTCTTGTGTGCGTGCGTGTGTCTGTTTGAGGAAGGAAGGTCTCTAGGAAGAAGGGAGATGGCGGGAGAGCATGATAAAAAGCGAAGGATGGAGCAAAATTAGGAGGCTAAGGGAAAGGAAAAGGAGGAAATCTAGGCCTCCCTTTTTTCTATCTACCAACTGAACCTCCCTTTCCATTTCCCATTTCAATTTACCTCTTGCCTTTTATCCAATTGGCCACCATGCTGACACTTCTCATCTCAGTTCCGTGACCGGAGAATAAGGGGAACAAAATGTTGTTGCTCCATATACAAGCAAATGTTATGCTAAAGTGATGGGTTCTCATCATGCCCTAACCTACAATGATGCTGGGAAACGGCGGAAGAGGAAGAGCATGCCCCATCTCCGTCCCGCCCTCCCCTAATTTGCATTGCATGCTGAAATGCATGTACTGGGCCCATTAACCAAGGGGCCGTGCTGTGTTTTGGTTGTAGACGAGGGCAGGGGGGCTGTCATATCTTTTGATTTGCTTGATATGAAAACAGTGGTGGTTTCCAATCAATGGAACCTGTGGTTTATTTGGGGTGAAATGAGATTTTTTTTATTGGTATGTTTGCATCTTGAGGCAATTTTCCAGCTCTATTGTGGAAGACCCGGAAGCATCCTCGCTTGATTTTACAGTAAATTTGTTATGGGGCCAATACGAGAGTTGAAAGTGAATATGGTTATTTATTTACATGCATAAACAAGCACACTTTGTTAGACACATCTGATGATTGTTGTAACGGAGATCCCGGCTGGCTATATATGCTGGAGCCTTATGTGAAGGAAGCTTATCAGAATGATTAGGCGGAAGGATGGGTGGCCTACCAGCGGCTTTACAAGTCACTGCAATGGCAAATATAATTTTGGAATTAGATGACACTCTGAGAATGGTCTCAGAGTGTCATCACAGTTTAAATTAAAACGTCTTCCGGCCGAGCTTCCCCTATAGAAGGCCAAACAGAGCCAGAAAAAAACAGCGAAAAACTAATTTCTAACAAGAATATTGTGTACTCATCACAATCAAATATATGAATACTTCAGTGTTTAAAACTTTAGAGTCTTTGAAAAGACTCTAAACAAAACTCAAGTCATAAAATATGATTTTCAGATTAGTCCAGAAATGTGCACTTGGCAATGCATTTGTAACATTTACACAGCAAAGCAAGAATACCAAACCACTTTCTCTCAGACCAACCTTGCCAAAACCAAACAAAAATAGTCACCAAGCATCCTGCATATGAATCATAAATGCTATTAGCCAGTGTGAAATTCAATCATTCACATCAATAGAATTATTAATAATCGCTAAGATAATTCACAAAAAAATTTAAATAACGGGGCACCACCCTGAAAAGGGACTAATAACCAAACTATAAATAAAGTCTCATAATTGGTATTTACTCATTAAGAGCAAGAAATTGAAGGTTTGAGTTTGTGCGTGTCACGGTTTTGGGTTAAATGGTAAATGGACTGTACTTGTATAGCACTTTTCTAGTCTTCCGACCACTCAAAGCGCTTTAACACTACATGACATCATTCATACACAGTACACAGTGACACCTGCCCATCAGTAACTAACATTCATACGCTGTAGTCGCAGCTACAGGAGCAATGTTGGGTTAAGTGTCTTGCCCAAGGACACATCGAAATGGGGGGTTAGCCAGGACTGGGATTAAACCCACAACCCTCTGATTGGAGGACGACCGTGCTCCCCACTCACCCACAGTCGCCCGTCAATGTCTGATTTTATTTTGTAGTTTCTTGCCTCTGTCCTCCCTGGGTCATGTCACTTGTCCTGTCCTCCTCTGTGATTGTCTGTCATGTCATGATTGTTTCCACCTGTGTCCAATCACCTGCACCTCCCTAGTGTATTTAAGCCATGTGTGTCTGTTGTCACTTGTCGCGTCATTGTCTTTTGTCACGCATGTCCCTGTCAATCGTCTGGTCTGCCGCTCGTTCCTGCCTGCCTTTTTGCCCTTAGTTCCTGTGTGTTTTTGCCCGTTGGCCTTTTGCTTTTTGCCTGTTTTCACTCTTAAAGTCCTTTTTGTTTTCGAACTCTGTGTTTGAGTCCAGCCTTCCCACGCACCCCTGACAGAATGACGTGACCAGTAAAGGACTCGGCAAAGTTTTTTCCCCGGGAAGAGTTCAGGGGAACCCGTCTGGCTATGAGCGGTCCACACAATCCTCGGCTGGCCATCCGTAATGGGGGAGAGGTCCTCCCCGGGATTTCATATGAATACATGTACTACTCTGTCCCCTTCCGGAGCCCTTAGTAGGCATCTGGGTCGCCCCTCTCACCATCCGCCGCCCACCACGTGGTCTTCAGAGGCCATTTCGTGGTCGTCTGGCGGCGATACTCACTGGGAGCGGGTGATGGACCTTGCGGTCCAACTCCAGGCCACCTACGCTCTCCACGCTCGGTCGCAGCGCAGAATGTCCAGCGCTGGGCCGCAGCGACATCCCGACCCTGCTGGGTCGCAGCGCACAACGTCCAGCGCTGGGCCGCAGCGACATCCCGACCCTGCTGGGTCGCAGCGCACAACGTCCAGCACTGGGCCGCAGCAGCTTCCCGTCCCGACCCAAGCCCACGACCCCCGAGCCAGCGCCACGATCAATGCCCCCGGTACCGGCGCCACGATCCATGCCCCAGACCCCGGTACCGGCCCCACGATCCATGCCCCAGACCCCGGTACCGGCCCCACGATCCATGCCCCAGACCCCGGTACCGGCCCCACGATCCATGCCCCAGATCCCGGTACCGGCCCCACGATCCATGCCCCAGATCCCGGTACCGGCCCCACAATCCATGCCCGCGACCCGGCCTGTACCGGCCCCACGATCCATGCCCCCGGCCCCACGATCCATGCCCGCGACCCGGCCTGTACCGGCCCCACGATCCATGCCCCCGACCCGACCAGTACCGGCCTCACGTACCATGCCCCCGACCCGACCAGTACCGGCCTCACGTACCATGCCCCCAACCCGACCAGTACCGGCACACGTTCCAAGCCCCCGACCCCGGTCCGGCCCCACGACTCATGGCCCCGACTCGGCCTGTACCGGCCCCGAGACTCGCCCCCGGACTCAGGCTCCCTCCCTCCCATCCCGTGGTCCTCTCCCACCCTCCCTTTGGTGGCTTGGGGGCCGTCTGGGATCCGGCCCTTGAGGGGGGGGCTATGGCGGGGGCTCCGGAGGTGTTCCGTGTCCCCCAGCCGGAGGTTTCCAGTGTTTCCCAGGCGGCCATCCCAGAGACGTTCAGTGCCCTGCAGTCGGCGCTCCGGAGCCGGCCAACTGACAGTCTGCCGGGCCGACCCCCTGAGGCTCCCCGGCCGTTTGCCTGTCCGCCGGGCCGACCCCCGGAGGCTCCCCGGCCGTTTGACTGCCTGCCGGGCCGCCCGCCAGAGTTCCCCCGGACGGCCTACCATTGTCTGGTTTCCCTCCCTCCCGCCCCTTGTCTGTTCCTGGTCAGATTAGGGCCATCTGGAATTTGGCCCTTGAGGGGGGAGTTCTGTCACGGTTTGGGGTTAATGTCTGGTTTTATTTTGTAGTTTCTTGCCTCTGTTCTCCCTGGGTCATGTCACTTCATGTCCTGTCCTCCTGTGATTGTCATGATAATTTCCACCTGTGTCCAATCACCTGCACCTCCCTAGTGTATTTAAGCCATGTGTGTCTGTTTTGACTATTAAAGTCCTTTTTGTTTTCGAACTCTGCGTCCTGCCTTTCCACGCATCCCTGACAGTACGGTCTGTTTCCTTCCAGCATTACAGTACACATAAGAAATCACAGAAAACTGCTGCTTAAAGTATAACAGGGTTTATTATCTTCCAATAACAATATATAAGAACATTCATTCATGCATGTGTAGTGGAGGTGTGTGAGTTAAGGAGGGGAGAGCTCAGGAAGGGAGCTTGCTGCACGCTAAACTACCGACCCCATGGCCAATGTGTTGCTAGCAGGCTGTGTTTATACACCACGTGTGTTCCTTACATTTAAACCTCTGTCTGTAGGTAAATCTATGTGTGGAGGGACAGGTGTGTGTGTGTGTGTGTGTGTGTGTGTGTGTTAGTAAGTTAGAAATCAAAGAAAGCAGATCTCATTCAGAACAGTGAGGCACGATAGTGGTTAACTTTATCACGTCACACAGTTCAAAAACATACAATCTCTTGTTAAACAATACATTAAATACCAAAACAAAAATAACGACACATGCTAATCTAACTTCTGCCCAGACTTCGCCTTACTGTGTGTTGATGGGGTTGTCTGTTTCCTCGAGTTTCATTTAACTGTGTCCAACCAGTCCATCCCTTTTTTGCAGGGATCGATTTGGGATTATGAGGACTGTTGGGTTTCTTGGTGGCACAAAAGCTATTGGTGCTCTTGTGTGCTCTTAACACACGTTGTATCCAAGGGGGTAGTTTTCCTTCTTGGTGAGCTGCTTGGGCCAGAAGTGGGTACTGGAAAGCCGGACTTCTCTGGAGCAGCTAGAAAATGGTTGGAGAGGCCCGAATCCTTAATCCTGAGGCCAGTCTGGAAAGTTGATTTGAAAAGGCTGTCTTCAACCTCTCATCGACACAGGTCGATTCGGAAAAATGTATCAGTCCGGAAAGGGATTTGAAGAGACTCTGTTGCCTCATCCTTACACTGACCAGAGTCAGTTCGGAAAGGGATTTGAGAGATACTGTCTTTAACCTCACACCGACCTGAGGTTAGCTCAGAATGAAAGTTTCGACGAGGGACCTCACAGAACACACCAGGGGGACCCCTGTGGTGTCTGTGGCTTGGCCAATCCACCCAGAGAGAGAAATCACACCTGGGTGTGAAGGCACATTCCTTTCTGGGGTTTTATGTCCTGCAGCAGAACACTGCATTCAAAAGTCGGCCTTACTTTTACGCAATGGTGGGAGCCCAACGTCAGACACTCTCACACATTAATTAATGAAACATTCTTACGTTCACTATTGAAATCTCTCACTCACTCACTCACACACTCACACATACATACATACATACATACATACATACATACATACATACATACATACATACATACATACATACTCTGTAAAACTATGCACAGACATTTATAAAACATTTTACATACTAGTCTGAAATACATACTCGCTGGGGCAGCTGGTGGATATTTTTTTTGGTAGGGCCAGCCAATCAGGTCAGTAAACATCCCAGTATTATTCAATGCAAAAAAGGCTATTAGACATGCATTATTACTTTGCAGTTAAATACATAACATTTATTCCAACATCAGGACATCTTATTCAAAGAATTTAGTATATTAATAGATGATATATTCAGAATATGATATAACTTCCATATCGTAACTATTATAATAAAGGATAAATAAATTACAATGAAATATATTTATAAATATATAAAATGTGTATATATAACGTTATATATATTGAGATGCAGCTTTGATGTTGAGGAAAGAACAAAAGCCACACAAAACTTCGCACAATAAATCATTTTGGATAAGATGTGCCTGTTTTCATCCACGTCCTGGTTGTATGTCCTCACCGCAGTCCCGTATATTGCATATTTATTTATAATATGGGTAGATGAAATCAAGCGTTCTGATTCATTGAGAGCGAGTCACGGGGTTTACTGAATTGAGCCATAATGTACCTGTTTACATTCTGAGTGTTCCATATCAGTGCGCAATCAAAATAACAGTTAGATTTTGCGCAGCCGTTGCACGATGCGTAAAACACATGAACCAGACTATGGGATAGAGGTGTGTACAGACATTACATTGGCGACATACAGAGGCATTAATTGTACATGCTTAAATTGAGCAGCTCAACCGGGTTTATGAGGGATTGCACAATCCGAGAGGAGGCGCAGCTCGCCGCCCGCGTCTCCCCGTATTTGAAGAGGTGAATACACAGAATAATGTATGTATATATATATTATTTTTATTTGGCTGACACCTATTAAAACCAGCATACAAGCAAACACACATATATATATACAATTGTGATATCATTATATGTAGTGTTTTTTTTTGTTAATATAGAATATATATATATTATATATATAATATATAATAAATAATAATCTCAATTTTAAACGGCAGTTTACAAAAGATCAATTTACCTCTTTGAGTAAGGTCTTTCTTTTGTTGTCTCTTTGGGCTTTTGTCTTGTTATTTTGAGTCCACGACCCATTATAGGACAACAATTTAGATGAAACTGGGACTTTGGTCTAGTTATTTTCGATAAACAGAGTCCCAGATCCATTACAGGACAACAATTTTGATGAAACTGGGACTAAAATTCTGCAGCATCTCAAATTTACAAATGATGGTTGGGAATTTGAATGCACGACGCATGCTTATACAAGGTAAAGGCTGGTGCATACTTCTGAGTCTTTCATGTGAAGGAAAGCGGAGGAGGGAGGATGGGGAGGTTAAAGTGTAATGGGAGGGGGACCTAAATGGAGATGGAGGGTGTAATAAGGGGCCTTAAGGCTGGCGCGTGCTTCGGCGTCTGCGTCGTTGCGTCGATGCACTCGTTTCAATTCATGGTTCTAAAAGGTGTGTGTTGCAGAGCAATTCACTGCCAGAACAATATGTGGAGTAACGTTTTTTGTTGAAGATGACCTACAGAGTTACGTCTTTGGTGTGGAAGTCGTTGGTTTGTTTATTTATTTATCATAGACTTTATTGCCCCGTGCATCGCCACTGTTGCTTTTCATCGCAGACACATTTGTCCCATATTTTCCTCCACAACTTTGTGAACCTCTCGACCGCCAAACCGACGTTTCCGGAGATCTCCCTCCATGAATCAGAGGCCATCCACGCGTCCTTTTAGTCCGCCAATGACGGGTTGTATAAGTTGTCATATTTACGCATTTCTTCTGACAAAAGCTCTCAATCTGATCCCTTCTCTCGTAAACAGTCTTCTTTTAATAATGGCAGTATTGTGCTATGAAAACAGTAATGTGAGACTCCGTAAAGGATGTAGTTAGCAGATCAATCAGAGCCATGCGGGCTGCAGGAGGCTTGCTTTCGACGCACGCAAGCACTTAAGGAGGTGTGAAAAGGCACGCAAGGGGCTCTTGCGTCTGCGTGTCCTTGCATCTCTCTGAAAACGCAGAAGGATAAACTAGGCTTGAGGGACAGTAGTCATTATTTGTTTGGGTATTTACTTGTGCCAGTATTGCAATTAAGAGTAAAGGGGATTGGTTCTTTAAACTTTTGCGGGGACTTTTAAGTGGTCTGTATGCACAGGTCAGATGGAAAATATTTTGAAAATGAAAGTTTCGTTATTGGATTTGTTTACAGTCAAGCAGTGCCTTTTAGCGGTGCTGATATTGATCTATGGTGATACCTTTCTTTCGCAGACGCCGCATGGTGGGTTTAATTGTGTACTTGAGTACCGCCAGGGCTGTAGTGGAGGGTAAACGCACGTAAACGCCGTTTACGCACCTCTAGAATTTTGGAAATAGCGTTTACGCCCCTATAAATAGCGTTTACGCACCTCAAAGTTCCCTTCTTCCGTTGGAATAATCCGAAATAAACTTGGTGTAATTTTAAAACAGCCAAGACTACGTTTCCTATTGTTGAACATATAAACGGCGTAGTCTGAATCATTTTCATCTGCGCTGTATTACGGTCTGTGAGCATCCAATCAGTGCCTTGCGGCTGCAGCAGCGACACCGATCAGGATCCAGGAGGTGTGTAAACACATACACGTTGTGGATCAGCCCAGTGGTCCCCAACCTTTTTTACCTCACGGACCGGTTTCATGTCAGACAATATTTCGCGGACCGGTCGAGAAGGTCCGACGGGGGGGGTGTAGTAGTCGTTGCGGGCGGAACGACCGACGGGGGGGGTAGTAGTCGCGCGATCTGTGTTCGCTGGTCGTGCACGGTAAAAGGACAAGAAAAACGCCTGGTGACGCGTAGATTAGAGAACAAGTCGGTTCTCAATGTGAAAAAAAACATGCTGTATAGGCTATTTATGATGACATAGGTAGTACATGAGTGTTCCTTTAACTTATGTTGTCAGTGTAATTGACAGGCTGCTTAACTGGTTAACTCTTAAATTCAACATATTTTTTCAGGCAGTGATAGGACAGGCAGTGATGCAGAGAGCACAGGGAGAGGAGAAACACCAGGTCGAATAGAGAGAGAAGCACAGAGGACCCATGAACCTTGAGCCATGGCTCCTCTGTGCAAGGCAGGACCTGACGTGAAGGACAAGGAGGCCCTCTGGGCACTACTGTAAAAAGGAGACTCCGTATGTAGATAGTTCTTAATCTGCAATTGTCTTGTTGACATACTTTTCTTTACTGTTTTCTTAAATTTAATAAACTACAAACTACTAACACATGTATTCATTGTCATTGATTGTATATGACTTTTACTGATAACATAATGCAATATAGCCAGGACAGCCTTACAGAGTC